GGCTATATATCAAGAAAGAATGAAAAAAATGGCTATATATCAAGAAAGAATGAAGAATGCAGTGGCCTTGTCAAGTGAAGAATGAAGAGAATGGTTGATTTTAGAAGAGATTACAGTTGAAGTTGGTACGTCTTTGCAATCTTCTAATTCTTAAATCTTTATCATGTGTATACCCAGATGATGGCTATTTATACTTGTTGAGTCTCGATCGGCAGGAATAGAAGACTCGAGGTAATGAGAAGGTTCCCACGAAAGGCGACCCACTAAAGCCATAATCCCAGTTTTTTATTCAAAACCAAAACCCTGTTAAAATTAGATTTCTTGGGCGGCTTTTAAACTGAAATTTATTTCGTTAATAGGATACTTGGAAAAGGTTTTGGGGCAAAAATTTATGTTTTGAGGGTCGTTTCTTTGATAATGAACTCAAAAACAAAACCAAGTAGTCTGTGTAGGTCACTGATCACACATGGCATGTCCAGCCAAATTGGGCAGGTGATACGGAAGTTCCTCTGTTATAGTCACTCGGGTGTACTACATACCCGTAGTCAATAAAAGAGAACCTTCAAGGTATATTATCACTTCCTTATTTCTGGCACAGAAATTTTTTCGGATTTGCGATTCCTACAATCATAGATTTGATTGCAGGTACAACTGATAAGAGGGAGGCACTCGGATTAAAATTGGGTAGCCAAAACTAATTGTGAGATACAATAAATTAAACAACTTAAAGAGAGATTTTAGTCAAATTGACTACTCAATTGTGTAGTGGGAATTAAAATGGCATCTCTACTGGGAACTAAGATGACATACCGGCTGACGCAACCAGCCTTGAAAAACTTTGGTCAATTTAACGACAGTGAAGGCACATCAGAACTGTGTCAAGGACACTCATAGTCGGTAATTTTTCAAAGAAGAAAAAGCAAAAAGAATGGCCATATGGTATTTGTTTAAGCGTTTCACACAAGTGATGGATTCACTGTACAAGAGCAACAGCATAAAATATATCACTAATTTACACAAAAAAAACTGCATTTGGTTTCTGACATCAGCATCGCCAATTAATCTACCAGGATTAATCATTGCTTTAAAGGACTCTTGCAGTTGGAGACTTCAAAACTGAATAACCCACGTATGTCTAGAAGATTCAAAATCAAAAGAACCTCTCCAGATTAATCTACAGAATTTGAAGTGGTGTTAGTCGCTCGATACAGATGAACAAAATGTGCCTCCATCCCCTCCTTTGACTGCAGGGCTGCTGCTACTTCTATGATCTTACGTATTGTGTACCTTCCTTCCCTTCATCTGTTGCAATCCAATTCCTGCAAACAACGATAACATTTGTATAATCTAATCTATCGAGAAGCCTACAGAGAGGCTGTATAAGAGATTAACAGGTATACAGATCTAACTAGATCAAGGGGATGTTGTAGCACCACCTTTGAATTATTTTCACTGCAAGTGGAGTTTGAATCCCCGACCTACAGTCTAAGAAGGAATTCGAGTCCCTTTGACTAGTACATTTGAACGGACCAAAATTAATGGCACCAATATTGAAATCTACATAGACTAACTTTTGAGACATTCTGATTTGTGCAATAATAACTCCTAACCAAAGTCAATAATTCCTCAAGTCCCGGTCTCTCACTTTTGCATAATACTCCCTATGTGATTAGAAGATACGTCTACCCATTTATGGATGCGTACAAAAAAGCATCCACCAAAGTCACCGACTAACTTTGGCAAAAACACATTGTGTTGAATGTTGGTTGCTGTGCTGAATACATCATAACCTAGCTAGGCAGTTACTTGTTTGGATCAGCAACAAAATGGTCGGTCAACACATGATTCATGAACTGGATAGATTTGTTGCCCCAGTCAATGTCATCGACGTGTTCCTTGCCTTGTGCGACCAGCGTTTAGGTTAAAAATTTTCGAACCCTAGTAAAAATTTGAAGGGAGCAACCGAGCAAGAAACACAACAATGTGATCCTTGGCCGTGTAACAGAGGGAGGGTTGAAACTCCAGAGTCCGACTGATACCCAAATCCAGCATTGAGAAGGACGACAGAATCTTTCGTACCATGTACGTCTGTCAAAAGGGTTACCATCTTGTCGGTTGATAGAAACACAAATCAGAAAGGAAAACAAAGGAGGGTCATTAGGGTCTGAGTCCGCAAACCACTCCGATGCTTCAAGACGAACAAATGAAGGATTGGGGTTGAGCGCTCCGACCAACTCCCATGCTTAGGTTAGTGGCAAGATATATTTTTTTTGTTAGTTATCGCGATTATGTATCGTATATCATCGGTAATACACTCATTGTACTTGTGATCCTGTGATAGGTTGCTCTGTTTTTTGGTCACCTCTTGGCTCTTGATTTGCTTCGAACCCCTAATGCTAGCTAAGATCTATTTCAAGGTGGAAAAAAAATCCCCGCACAAAAATAGAGTGTTCCTTGCAAAACGTATGCATGCGAAAAGTGTCAAAGGGTGTGCCAGATTCAATGTTTCTTGTAGGTTTGAGCTGTAAAATATATCCACATATGCCACCTTATGTTTCACAACATATAAATTCCTCTTGTCGTGTCAAAAAAGAACTGCATTAAGTTGGCGAAACTTTCCTCGTGTTACCATAATTTGGGAATATTTGTGTGTCGTGAGATGGAGACTTCCAAATTATTTTTTACAAAAAAGGTGAAGGAGAGGGATACAAGAAAATCTTGGCGGAATTGCATTGCTACTTGCTCGAAATAAATGTCAAACTCAATTAAGCTACATTATCGAGTGGTCCTCTGGCGTCGTGGAAATGTCCCGAAATGTCAAATTCTATCTTCCTTTTTATTTGGAGAATTGTAAATTCAGCATAATTGTTCCGGCCACGTTGGTGGTGGCTGTTTTATGTCTAGAGAATAAATGAGGTCCTCTAGATTATTCAAGGCGTCTCGTGGGTGTCTTGGTCGGTTAAAACTTCTGAATTCTGGTTGTTTGGCCAATTAGCATTCTTTTGGTTAAGGTTTGTAGAAATGTAGACAACAGTTCTTGTCAAAGTCAATATATGGCAATCTTGTCAGAGTTGAAAGGTCTAACTTCCCCCCGTCCTTAGTCAAAATTTAAACTAGTTAAAAGCTAAAACATGGACCATGTGTTATTCTTATTCCTTTTCCTCCTAGAAATATTCTCCACCGGAGTAATGATATCCAGGATTAAAGAAATGCTAAACCGGCTTTGAGAGGACTTTTTTTTTTTGTTGCAACGATAACAGTTGTATAATCTATTCTAGTTTAATCTAAGGGGAAGGGGAGTCAATGGAGAACTCCGTCAAAGGAAACCACGCGAAAATGACAACCACAATTAAGTGACAAGTTTGGTGGGAAGTCAAGGCTTCATCCCAAGACTTATATTACCAACAAACCAAGAGGCTGTTGGCTTTGAGAGTACTTTTGAACTAGAGAAAGAAAGCGGAATGGTAAAAATTGGAGACAGTTTTTCGCGAAGAGAAACAAGCTAAGCCCAAGTATGCAAGTGACACAGATTAGCGGTCAATGTTTAGATATGTTTTGGTGGGTAGGTTATTGATCGCGCTCTTAATCATCTGTCCAAGTAGTTTTTTTTTCTTTTTTTTTGTCTAAACGATAAATTCTATAGATTCTTTGGGGGAGGGGAACCTTTGGGAGAGAGGAACCTAAAGAGTTTAAAGAGAATCCGGTACTCCAACTCTGCATTAAGAGGAGGGAGATCTAAAAAGATCAAGAGGAATTTGATGAACCAACACCGGTTCAGACAATATTTTCAGGAAAGTCTAAATTAGAATGCAGATCAAAGGATTTGATCTCTTAACCTACACTAAATGAGAGCTTTAAAGCTCTTTTGGTAGCCAACTGTTCAAAGTTTTGAAGTAACTAGTCGGCATCTTTCTTCAAGTTCTCTTGTACATTTTGGCTTCATACATTTGTCTTAGAGATTCTACATTTACTCTTCTCCAGTCTTATTTGAGAAAGTACAGGAAGTCAAGATCGACAGTGACAAAACATTGTGGAGGAAAAGAATTCAGAAACTACTGCAAGGCACTAACCAAAGTTGGATCGGATAGAATCAAAGTCTGTTTCATCCTCCTTGGGATTCAATTGCCAGGCAGGCGTCCACATCCACACCGTAACAGCATAAATGACACAAGCTCCCTTTCTTTTATACTGTTACCAGTCTACTAGTAGATGAAGGAATCTAAGCCATTCCTAAACAAAGATGCATTCCAAATAAACTACGCGCTAAGAAAAGAATTTGACTTCGTGGCTGGGAACAAGAGAGGGCACAGGAACTGGTGGCGATCTTATTAACAAGCTTGCGGCTGTCTTTCATGCTACAAAACCTGCAGAACTTGGGCTTCAAATAGCGCTAAGATCAGTCAAAATCGACCGATAAGGGGACATGGACCCGAAAACAAGATTTTGCTATATTGTCTATGACATGAACTAACAGAGTAGATATGAATTCACCTCGTGGAACCAATCACTTGAACAGCCAATTAAATGGTACAACTTACTTTAATTCTTAGTGCAGGACATGCCATGGACAATCACGGAATTTACATAGACGTGGAAATAACGAGAAAGGATGACTACGAAGAGGTGCCTTTTTCCCCCTTTTCCATTCACTAGCTGACAAATTCATGTAGGTTCCCACTTCCCACTTAATTTGATATTGTCAAAAAATACAAAAGTAGATTTTGCCTTCTAATTGCAATTCCATTTACTCACTGATAAACAAAGAACCCGAGACTTCCATCAGTTTCTGTAAAAATGACGCATGCTTTTTTCCCTGACATGGGACCCTTAAAGTGCTTACTACGAGGATTTTAATTCAGCAGCAAATATTCAAGTCTTGGGTGCACGGTACATTATTGAAGCAGATATAATAGTATGACTATAGTATTGACTTTTCGAGTATAGAATTCGCTACGTTTGGGATGGGAGAGGAAGGGGAAAGGGGAAGAGAGGCGGAGATAGTGAAAACACGAGGACATTCAAACTAGAAAAGATACACAAGTCTAACTTTGATACGCAGGTAGAGAATATTTAGGCTGAATTCATCCACGTGCGCAGTCAACTCAACTCCTTTGACATCAGGACCATGGACTTTGGACATTCACGAGGAGTATACATTTAGGCCTTGCTTGGATTGAAGGTTTTCGTCGGAAAATATTATCGTTTTCCGTGATCACATTTCCCTATCACCTTTTTCCCTCACATATATCAAATCGCTACAGTAATTTTTCCATGAAAAATGACGGAAAATGCAATCCAAACACAACCTTAAGTTTGACGACTTCATGAAATTATTGAAGATAACTTTTATTTTGAAACCTATTATCTGCTACTTCCTCATAAGAAGCACCACAGTGTGTGCCGCAATACTCCTATTCTCCCCAAGGCTGTCAACCTTCTCATGAGTTTTTGCTTTCAAATTCACAACAGAAGGATCCGCGCCAAGCAGCTCGCACAAATTGGACCTGATAACCTCCTTGTGGGGGCTCAATTTTGGCCTTTGCAAAATCAAAGTGGCATCCAGGTTTCCTAGTTCATAACCTGCCTCATGCATCAGCCGCACCTGATATAGATCATATAGCAGAAATTCGTTCGGTTATACTTATACAGAAACAGTCAACAAGCAAATTTGATCCTCTGCCGAGGAACTACCTAAAAATCAGTAGAACAGATATCTCATTCACCAACTGACAAGAAATTTGTACGCTTACTTGAGCATCTATGCTGTAGACCAAAAGACTAAATGGTCCTATCTCCTGATCCTTCTCCCAGTAAAATTTGTCAATCGAGGATATTGTCTTGAAATGATCCAAATGTATGTTATTCAGGACCAACTTTTGATAATATACATTCTGACACCTCAGTATAATTTGTGGGGACACCAGGACAGATGAAATCTAATGATTATTCTTCTCCAGTGATATATGGTCTAAGAACCGGGCTAAGCGAGGATATTAAAGCTATGGGTGAACATATTGTCACATAAACCAGATATAATTAAGGCTCAAACATGGGGCACGCCACTTCTAGTAAACTTTAAGCAAGTTATGAAAGTTCAATTATATCAAGGCCATTCGAAGATGGCCAAACAGTTTCAAAAGTTTATTAGGCTACTACTGTGGTTTACCTTCGTTCTCAGGCATCTGAAAGTCCTCATCGCCTGAGCTTGATATCGGTCGTGTAAAAGTATAGGTTGTAAGAATGCAGCTTAATTGTTGTATCTTTTTTTTTTTTTTTGTAAGTATTTTTGCATGATCTCAACGTTCCATCTAATCTTTACGACCATGATACTTTAGCTTTGGAACCAACTCCCTATGTTCTCACTTGACAGTTGTTACTGACACCCCTCCTACCCATTTTCTTTCCTCATCTTCATTTCATCCCTGGTAACTAAGCTGAACAACACACAAAAGAAAGTTATAACCGAACATCACATTTTCTTAGTCACATGTCAAGAAGAGAGACTATTTGAACGGAGAGCAAAAATCTTATAGCTTAGGTGATTTTGCATTCAAACAGTAGGCAAAACGATCCAAAGGTTTGTGCATTACATCGTTTCTACGTTTTTCTTCTCTCCTTACTTCTTTTTCATTTTCTTTCTGATGAAAGTTGTACAGTAAAAACAATCTTTCAAATAAACTATGCGGGGTAAAAGCAAGAATTCTTCCAGATACAATCTTTTCACATCTTTGACTTGGTCATTTGTAGACCAGGACAATAATTCGTAAAATCAAACATGGTGTCAACAGTTGAAACTCTAGTCCATAATCCCAGCTTCACCTAGTAAAACTTTCTTAACAATCTGATTCAAAAGAATACAAGCTTGGAATTCAATTCCTGTTCTGAACAACAAAACTAGCATTTCTAGAAATATACGTAGTAACTTTGTAAGACTAATTAACATCCGCAATCCCACAACTTCGACTAATCTCACTCAACACAACAAACCACATACCCATACAAGACCTTAAGATGCAAACCAAGATCAAACTGGCTATTAAGAAAACAGGAACCAACCAAGTATCAATAACTCATATTATTCAGAAAGATAATGGGTAAAACTTCAGCAAGTACTCCAGTTCTAACTTCTACCAACCATAGGTACCCCTTCAAGCAAGAATTCTGCAATTGTACTCTTTATCATCTCGAATAGGTAGCCATAACAATTCACTTTAGCAAAACAGCTAATATATCATCATTTCCTAGTAGTGATCTGCTATTAAATTCAGCAGAAGAGTAGCTTTAAGATTATTCTCATAGCGCCATACAATCAAACTCAGAAATAATCAATGTGCAACTCTGAAAATTTTTAATGCAGCAAAAGTAAATGTTAAATTTTTTTAGCAGTAGAGAGAGAGAGAGAGAGAGCAGCATAGCTAATAGCCCGTGAGCATGACCATAATACCCGATATGTATTAGTTACCTGACCCGGAGAGGCCAAGGGTAAGCCCGTCATTATATATTTTACATAATAATATAGCTGGGGCTGTAGCTGAAAGGATTTTGTAATTAAAAACTCACGGCTTCTCTGATGAAAACAGAAGACGCAGCGCCTTTCCATTTAGGATCCGAATCCGGAAATATCTGCCCGATATCTGGTAAACCTAAAGCTCCCAAAATTGCATCCACCACACAATGCAGCAACACATCACCTACAGGTTACGACCCAGCCACAGCTTAATTATTAGTAGAAAATTACTGCAAAATTAAAGTAATAAATTCATCCTTGAACATAATATAAGCAAGCAAAAAAGAAAAAAAAAGTCAAAGCTGTGGTAATTGAAGAGAAATAGAAGCAGGAGCAGCAATAATATTACCATCGGAGTGAGCTTCGCAGCCTCTTTCATGAGGAATATTGATACCTCCGATGATCAGAGGGTATCCAGGTTCCAAGCGGTGAAGATCGAAGCCGTGACCGACGCGGAAGGGTAGGGATTTAGATGAAGCGGCAGTAGTGACATGAGGGTCAGCTTCCACGGCGGCGCTGGTGGCTGAGACTACCAGTGGCAGTGGCTGCGAATGTTGTTTACTCGCGGACCTGAGAGCAAACGACGACGTCCGATTCAAGCATCTGGTGACAGTACACATCCGAGGAGGAGGAGAAAGAAAGTGGATAGAGCAGTCTCCTCTGGTGGTTTTGAAAGGAATTTTTGCGGTGGCAGATAACGTCGTCGTGGCCATAGCCATTGGCGGGAGGGGTGTCGGTGACTCTGCGGCGTGGTTTTGGGTGATTTGTTGGTGGGGATACTGATACTGGTATCGGTCAGCTGATGAGGTCTCAGGTCATTCGCGGTTGGCGGGTGGGCATAGTCAATTTAATTTAATCGGATGTTTTTGCTTTCATGTTTTTTGAGAGGGAATCATTCCGGGGGCTCAGCTCGTGCTGCACGGGAATTTAGGATTTGGATTTATTCTGACACACGTGAGACGTGTTGTCTTCTACTTGTACTGTTTATTTTGACCGTTGAAGGCTTGAATTCTACCCCAGAAGAAGGAAGTGAAAAAAAAAAAAAAAACACGTTGAATTATGTGGCTGCTGCAGCTGCCTTTGCCCTTCGCCCTTTCACTTTTGCATCAGCAGCCTCTCAATTTTTTTTTTTTTTTAAAAAGTGTAACGGTAAGCTCCCACAAATGAATATAATAGACTACGTGCCTGTGGGAGTTTAAAAGGGACAATTGCAAGTGCAATACTAGCAAGTGCTTTTAATTGTTGAGTGATGAGAGGGACTAGCAATTGTTATATACTACTATTGCAAAGGCTAATTGAGAGAGGTTCCTCTTCCAAGCTACCCTCGAATCGATTGATATGGAAAGAGCTCATGAATTCTTGATTGTCATTTTATTGTCATAAGCCAAAATCGACCAAAAAAAAATTCTTTACTTTTGAACACAAATAGGAATTGTAGTATTGTAATTTCTAGTTTTGGATGGGATGGATGTGCGCATGCATGCCAGCCCGCAAGCTAATATGAAGAATATTAGCAGCACTGAGCAAAAGGCTCCAAGAGGGAAACAAGAACCAGAGAGAGAACAGAAAGCTAAACAAGATTGCGGACAGCGATCAGATATTGCTTTGGTGGAGATTGCACAAGGATCATGTATAAGAGTTCAGGAAACTAAAAGATTCCCAAGAGAAAAGCCAAAGTCGCAGAACATGGACTATAGCTAAGATATCAATGTCCAGGATAAGGCTTATCTCCAGATGCAATTAACTAAGCAGCTGTGAGACGATCCAGCTATATATATAACCTATTACATCTCATACCATCAAAGTTGGCAGTTTGAGAAGTCTGCTGGTAAGTAGAACAAGTCAACTAACAGTTTACAGCAACAGCGGCCAAAACCTATACTTGGTGGAAAGTATCTACAACCAGATCTTAAGACTTTCAGCCATAAAATCTCAGAAGGGAGATTCAGCAGTTGAAGTCCTAGGATGCTTGAGTCCTTGATCTGTGATCAAAATTTCAGATGCAGGCCTCTTAGATCTCAGCTGCAAAAACCAAGCAACATGAGCGAACTCTCCACCAAATGTCAAACTTTTACAACTTCACACAAACTTCTATATATAGGCATACAATGCCATATAACCTAACCTTGTCTTCGGTGCGCTTATACATGTTCCTCAGAAGTATATTTCTTGATTCTGAAGCTATCACTGGAAATTGAGTTTCAAGACAAGTCAATGATGCTGCTGTCATACTTGCAATATAAATTAAACAAAGTTCAAAGCAATGTGACCATGAAATGTTCCAAGTACATATATCTGTGCAGTATAATCACTGAAGGGCAAGGCTTTCTGGCTCAGAAGCCTACCAGTAACACCCTTGTATGAATTTATTCTAACATGGAGATCAAAAATAACTTCAGGTAAGCAATTCAGTCCAACCAAGAAGCTACTGTGTCAAAAAGTTTGCGAGACAGAAAGGGAGTCATAGATTAAGGGATTCTCAACTAATCGTAGTGCAAAATATAACAAACTAAAGAAGATGGGCCAGATTTTGTATGAAAGGATATCTGATAAACGTTACACAACCAACTAGTTGAAGATATCTCAGCCCAAATACTGCATCTTTTTCCACGACCAGTCAAAACTCGTAAATGACAATGTGAGATGAATATACATATCTCCTCTCAAATACTAAATCTTTTTCCAAAGTCAGTCAAATTTTCATAAATGACTCAATGACAATAACTGGAAGCACAATGAGATAGAACTAACGTGATCTTTATCAATTTGTATAATTGACGTAAATTACCTTGGTTAGGTGGTGGCTGGCACCTATCATGAGTTGGACAATATGTAACAGGTGTCATTCTCTGTGAATGAGAAAATACAGATTTAGCAAAGAGAGAAACCATGTTCTTTTCCATTGGTGATACAGTTCTATTTCTCAGGGAAAGAGAGAAAAAGGACTAGTTTTCATGTGTCATAAATTCCACATTTAAAGCATAAGGAAACATGGAAAGCTATCAAGTTAATGGATTTAAGAATAAAAAAGCAAGGTGGACATTTTACTAAAAATTAAGGATTTTTAACACACGATACAAGGTACAAAAAGCGAGAGGAAGACATAAAGCACAGTTCTTAAGAACTAGGTTGAAGCTAAACAAGCAGAGATAAAGATACATATAGTGCGATTAGTCTAGCTTAGAGATTCAGAGTACTGAAAACTTCCTTAAATGAAAGGTTAGGATTAACTTATTCTGCTCTGCAGAAAATGAGCGAGAATTACTAATTGCAGTCAATATTTTCTAACTTTCGGTCTACAGTTGCTATGAAGACATAGATTCAAGGTGCCGATTATATTGGACTTTCTGATATCAGTCACTTGTATACTTTGAAGTAATTTAACTGCTAACAGATAGGGGACCCCAAAACCTGGCAAAGTTCAATTGCTTCTTTTAACCATCACTGCAACAATGCTGCATGACTTGTTTTAACCATCATATTCATGGCTTAATATGTTAAGTTAATCCTTCCTCCAGAAGACTGGAGTGTGGGTTGATGTGAAGGCCAAAGTTTTATGAAACATCTTTTGTCCTGAGCACTATAAGAAGTTCAATAATACCGTCCTGCAGGGAGCATTTGTATGCTCATAAGCATCATTTCTTAGCCATCCCCTGCAAAGATTAAAGATGAAGAAAGCCAGAATTCAAGAAAACACAAGACCACAACTGGCTCATATTTGACAGGTACATTTGAAGGAACACCTTTTAGTGATGTATCTTATTCCTCTTATAGCTTGCATGTTCAACAAAGTGTACAACTTGTGATTGTTGAATCATTATCACTCTGTGAGTTACAAAGTTTAAAGCTATGGAGACAGGTATTTCCTGGACTTGAAGGTATAGAGGAAATTTCTGCTAGGTAAATGTGCCGCTGCCCTCAGAATAGAACCTGACAATAACTTGTTACTTTGTCATCGTTAATCACCTCAATACGGGTTCCTACTGTCTTACCTCCTGATAAACCACTTAGTTTGAAAAAAGTTCACTTTTGCACAAAATTTATTTCTTGGCACCCCAAAGTCTGATCTTTAGCTATACTTTGAGCAAGTGACAAAATCGTCAGCCTTTTAGTTCAGAAGAATCTTCTCAAGTTAATGGTTCCTAGACATGCTCTCTAGACCTGTTTCTATTCAGAAAATATACGGCTTGATTTTGTTTTCCAAGTTGGACGAGCTCTAAGATATCCTCAGCTGACAAAAAGACATCGTGCAACTGCAGCCATAAATGCTGATTCCAAAAGTCAAATAAAGTACATTGCCTCTATCCACATTAAGAAATGTGCTCAACATGTCAGACAAGTGTAGAGCACCATGGAGTAACTAACAGATTACTATGACCATCACCAATCTAAAATGTTGATTCATTACCCGAAAAGCTGGAGCCCAAGTCCTGTGCTACTCAGACATTAGGTGAGCTCCAAGATATCTACAACCGACAAAAAGAAATCGTGCAAATGCAGTAATAAATGCTGACAGCAAAAGTAACATAAAAATGCTTTGCCGTTATCAGCACTACGAAAAGTGTTCAACATGTCAGACAAGTGTAGAGCACCATGAAGTAAGCAACAGATTACACTGATCATCACCAATCCACAATGTTGCTTCATTACCCAAAAAGCTGGAGCCCTAGTTACATTCCATTCTCATGCACCTGATTTGAGGTGACATGCATATTGATAAAAGTCTAACCTTTACTCAAAATGATTTACAAACAGACACGACAAACCGCTTTACTCACATTGCACATCAACCAACTGAATTTAAGTCAAATGTACATTGGCAAAAGCCTAACGATTGACAACATCAAATAATTCAACAAACAGACAGAACATAGTCGGCACAAATCATGCTTGTTTCGTATTAATTCCTGCACCAAAAGAAATCCATTCTGATATTTTTCTTGACAAATAAAGAAAGGATGCAGCAAAGTTGTTCTAGATTTTGAGGCACATAGCACCAATCATGCCCCAAAGGATGGATGAATGCTGCTCATGGCATATAAAAAACTAGTCCAAGCATCAAGAGTAACCATCACTGTCAGCAAGCAGGAATCAAATTTAAGGAGCCTCAACAAACAGAGGTCAATTAAACGGGCGTATAACGTAATGAAATTCTTCAGATTCCAGTCCAACTACCCGAGCATAATAAGAACTTCCAAAACATGATACACACAAAAATCATCCTAAAATGCAAAGCCTCCTCCGCCCAACCCATCCCACTAAAACCTTACAGCATGAGGGAACCTTTTGTCCACCTCCGCCCCTCCAACCAACCCCCCCCCCCCCCCCCCCAAACCAAACAAAGAAAAAAACATAAAGGGTAACCATAATCAAGAGCAGAATAAAAATAGACTCAGCCGATCAACTATAATCAAACAGATTTCTCTAAAAACCAAAAGGTTCGCAAAAATAAGAGAAAGAGTGGATTTTTATGAAGTTACAGAAATTCCACCTACCGAAGGGCTTGAAGGATCAGATGGTCGGAGTTGGCTGAAGTTCAAAGGGTCGAAAGAAGGCCAGTCACCAAGCATTGACCCCATCCGATCACCGGAAAACCTCTGCAGTCTGCGCCTGGAATCCTAGTACTAGAAAAAAATTGCCGATGATGCCTCAGGGTTTCAGGTACACATAGCTTGCTTATATACACTCTCAACAACAATGCCACGAGGCGGTAAACTGAAGAGTAGCAATTGACAGGTGGGCTTATGGACTAGCTCGGCAAGGCAAGTAGTAATAGTTGTAGTGGGATTTGTATCAAGTTAAAGGAGGAAATAATTATTATTACTGCTGGCACAACTAGTACAACCAGTATGGAATGCCAATCCCATTACCTCTGCTTTTGGGTTTGGCATTCATTGGGGGTGGGGGATTGGATTGGAATTGGAAGTATCTGTTGAATTTTACATTTTAACTGTACTATATATTTTTTTATATGTATATATAAAAATATCCCGGGTCTGTTCTTTTTCTGCCGTCTGGTTCTAAGCAAAACTTGTGTGTGTTTCAGCAAGATGGACGTGAGCGTAAAAGTTACTCGTCAATGGCTTGGATTCTTGGTGAACGTTAAAAGTGGTAGGTCTGTGATCTGATGATTTTGATGGAGCTGAGACTAGGTTATATTGAGCTCAACTTTGGTGATTCTTTAGCTAGAATATTCAAGAAGTGTTAATATTTTTTTAAAAAAAGTTTTACCAATTTCTTTTACAGGATTGAGCAATAAAGTTTTGTGGAAAGAATATGCTAAAAAAATTTGAAATACTTCTGTAATGTAAATTATTGTGTGAAAATTAGAATCTATACTTCTCAAAGCATCCTAAACTATGGTTTGGTTTCTTTTGCCAAATTGATTGTTTGCGTCCAAAAGAATAATCCCAACATAACAAATTATGAGCCTGTTTCGAATGGTGTGTTTGTTTGGCATTTGGAAGAAAACAGATGATCCAAACATGGCCTGTTATATTGCTAGAAAGTAAAAGTAGTATACATGATGGTATGAAAACAAAAGTAAGAGTGAGAATTGGAAAAAGGAAAATTCTCTCATTTTGAAGTTTGTATCCTTACATCAAAATCTTTCATTGAAAATTAGCAGTAGATGAGTTGGTGCATAATGTTTCAAAAGTAAATTTCGAATTTGGTGACACTATCAAATTTCAACCAAAAACCAAGATGTGGTGGTGATGAGAACAGAAAAAACTGATCCCTACTCAAAACCATCAACTTAAAATATGTCAATCGGAGGGAAGAAACCATATATATACTTAAAATTTGTCCTCATTTCGTAATTTTTTCCATTGGACGAATAAAACAAGACAGAGATCTGCAAATAAACTCATCAAACCCTTCCGGCTGAAGAGAAGGCAATAAAAGAAGCCAAAGGACCAAAAGCTAATCAATCAGAGAGATTAAGGGAAGGGAGATGCCGAAACGTTAGATCTGACGGCGTAAAAGTTTTGAACGTGTCAATTGGTAAATTTCCATTTTTCTGCTGCATTGTCCATTTTGGTAAAATAAAATTGACAAGATGTTAAGATGGCCCCCCATATTTCTGAAAATTTTCCGTTCAGTCCTTGAGGTTTAAAAATTAAAAAGTTTATCCCTCATCCGGCAACTATGCTACATTAGTCACGACTCACAAAACCCCACTCCATTCATATTTTCAAAGGTAAAACTCCATTGGAGCTAGTAGTTGCATTTGGCTTGATTTATTATGCAATGAGCGGAGTTAATTTTAATATTTTTGACAAGAAAGATGTGTTGTTTGATTTCTATTTTATATTTATTCAAATAAATGTAATAGTTAAAGAAAGATAATTTAATTGTATCATTAACATATTTTTCAATAATTTTTTAATTTTACATATATTACATCAAAAAATAGTTATAATATTTTTTTTTAAAAAAATTATCTCAAATAATCTACTATCTAAACACGTTTTGCTGGCATTATAACTTAAATCCAACGGTTTAAATATATTAAGGACCAAATTTCTTTCATTTTAAGTTCAAGGGACTACAACATTAGTTTAGGAAATATGAGGGATCTCTTTATCAATTTTGCCAAAATGGCAAAGGAAAATTCTGGCATTCGGTTTCGAGTTTCCAGGGTTTTCGGCCTTGAGCTGCCTACGCTCCAAAACCCTCCTCCTTTCCTTAACCCCTCTTCCCCACTGTCTCTCCCTTTCTGAAAGGCATATCAACCATTGCATAGGAGAGAGGGGAAGAGAGGAAACTTTGCTTTATATCCAATCCAATTTGTAGATAGTATAAGCCATGTCGGCACCCGAAGCTCCGGTTAATTATGTCGGTGTCGCCCGATCCTCCGCTGCCTTCCGCCTCATGAAGCAGATGGTATTGAATCTTCCTCTTTCTGGACTACGGTTACGAATTTATGCATATATAGATACTTATCAACGTGTATTGAATCGGATTACACAATTCCGATTTACTTGTTTCATTTGCCATTTTTAATGGATTTCTATTTTGGGGGTCTTAGAGTTGTAAAGCAGAAGTTTAAATCTTAATAAACGAATGTTGTTAGGGATGGGAAGAAGGAGAAGGCTTGGGCAAAGATAAACAAGGGATCAAAGGATACATCAGGGTTAAGAACAAGCAAGATAATGCGGGTTTGTATTTTTTTTTTCCCTCTTATTCTCCCAATTATTGCTAATCTCATTCTACCTATTTGCTTTTTATTGTTTGCTAGGCAATTGATGTTGCCAAGAAATCCTTCTGTTTTGCACTTGAGCTGCGTTTCCATCTGGAAATATATACTAAATGAAGCCCAAATAGAGTTTGGAGCATTTTTAACTACGTACTATTTAACTTTGTGAATTTGATAGGTATTGGAACTGAGAAGCCAAATAACTGGGCATTTGATACCACTCAGTTCGATAACATCCTCAAAAAATTAAAAGTGGTAATTTTGGGACCTTTTCTCGAACTTATCTTTTTTCTTAGTTTTGATTTCATATGATCATTTTTCCGCTAATCTTATTCTTAATTGACGTGGCAGCAAGCAGGTAATGTCATGAAGGACGAAGGTATGACCAAAGTACAGTAATTCACAGTCATATTTAATCATGACACAATAATAGTAGTGATCTTAGGAGTCTTTTGGGTGGACATAACAGGTGAAGGAGAAGATGGGGCAGAAGCAGATGCAATTTCCAAGAGCTCCAGTGACAATCAGGATAAAGAAGTGAAGGTTACTCGGCCTCAGGGAAGGTAAATACATTGTAGCTGATTATAAACTGAAATGTTTGGTTGTGAATTTTTTGCAGTAGAGTAATCTTTTGTTCATTTCTACTACTGTTAGATACAAGAAAAGAGAGAGGGGGAAGCATGTTCAAGCCTATTCTTCTCAGGATCTTGAAGGAATCCTTGTAAGTAGTACATCCTCTGTATGGTACCGTCAGGTTATCCATGGTGGTGTTTCCTTATATTTGGTGGGTATGAGACTATTTTCTATATACATTAATCTTACGTTGCTTTTTCTCTTTGATAGTTTTACAATCGCTTTATACAAACTCCTGCACATTTGGTTCTCATTTTTTATAAATGAACTTTGTGTATAAGCCGGAGGTGATTATCATGTCTGCTGCCAGACTGGCATTGTTCATTTTGAGCATTTTACTCTGCTCCATCTCTTGGGGATGATAGAACTTTTATTGCTCCTGATGAAAAATACTTTACTTCAATGCTAACTGAGAAGTGTGTGTTTCTGATGAAACTTGGTGTGGTCTCTTTCCTTTGATTGTATTATTAAGTTAAATTTGTTGTATGCTACATTCTCTTAGTCTTTGATTTTGAACTTGATGGTTGATACGCTAGGTGTCCAGTGTTTCTGTTTCATCTTCAAAATTTATGTGGCTTGCATTGCCAGTTCATTTTGCTTGCTTGCTTTGTAGGTCAAAAGGGCAGTTTCTCCTATTCCACATAAAGAGGAGGATGTAGCTAACTCAGAGGAGGATGTGGCTAACTTAGTGGAGAATGTGGAGAGCCACATACCGGATAGTGAAGGTAATGCTCGATCCACATTATAGATCTTGAGAGTTACCATTATCGTAAACCTTGATGTTTGTCACATTACAATTGTGTAAGTGCATGCTTTTGGCTGATGGCTGATGCAGTTAGAACTTTTAATGCTTCAGACTACCATGTGCTGAATGAACTAACTGCCTTCTTGCTCTGCTGTTATCTGAACTTTTCTATGCTGTATGAATTAGATTATGCAGCTTTTCTGCAGTTTGTAAATGAGCTAGATCTGACATATGCATATGGGTCCAAGCAGATCCTTGATCTTTCTGATATGCTATATCGAACTAGCATATAGAATTTAGATTTTTGGAGTAATTTTTGAATGCTGAAGTTTTGCAGTAGCTCTGCTCAATGCGATGAAAAATATTCCGCAATGAGGAGACGTAGGTTTTGGTTTTTTGCTGGTTTCTGGGCCACATGCTAATTTGCAAGTCATTGCTTTGCAGTTTCGATTAGTATGATGCAATATTCTTGGTTATCTCTCTGCCTTAACTGGGTCTAAAGGCAGGGGATATAGATTAGGATCTTCATTTTAACTGCATGAGTTGACTTCTGTCTTCTGGGATTTGCTTTATCAATTTGCTTGACTAGTAGTTTGGTTTTGATAATTTCTTCTAATCATATTAAAGAAGCACACTCAACTGGCCCACTTTTATAAGCACACATGTGCTGTCTGCTTAAATTTAAAGTAAAAAATAATTGATTTTTCTAGAGAAGTGAGTGTCATAGAAAAAGTCAATCTTATTTATGAAGACATAGTTGTAAATATTTATTTGCTTCAGCAAATGGTAACACTTGTAAATTTTTGACGTTAATAACTTCTGCAGATTGGATATTCATATATGAATGTTTGCTTGGTAAATGTCATAATGTATTTCCTGTTTTCATTTTGGTTTTCATTAGTGCATTTTTTAGCACCTTTGGCTGCTAAACGGTGTTTTACCCGTCACTGCATTATTATTGTATATCTGATCATTATCATCTGAGGAACTGTTCAGTACAGATGAAAACTGTTTCAATTCTCAGCATAAGCTCTTCAGTGAACAAACTACTGTCTATGCAGGGAAAGCAGATCAACATTACCAAGTAGTTTCACCCGAATGGTGGGGTTTCAAAAGAGGATTTGTTTCTGGTGGTTTTCTTGGAGCTGAAGCTCGGAGAAGGAAGGCCATAGAAAGAACTCGGAATGGTGATCAAAGGACTGCATTCCATGAAGAGGATCAAGAAAATCTTTATAAACTCGTCCAAGTATGTGTTAATTTTATTAATCAAATAAAGAATTTGCCTTCTTTTGCCAGGTAAATGTTAATGTATCATGCTTTTTGCAATATCCTTGAAGCTCTAAATAGAAAGTAGCTGGCTGTTGATATATTGATTACATGTCTATAAGCGAATAATAGACATTCTTTGTAGGGAAACCAGGAAGTTACTAAGTTTGACGTCCTTCACTGCAGAATAAAGCTACAACTGGGAAGCAAGGGCTTGGTATCAAAGACCGAACAAAGAAAATTGCTGGCTGCTACTTCCAGGGAAAAAAGACTTCATTTGACGACAATGATGGTGAGGAATCCACAGAATCCCGTTCTTCTCCAAAAAGAAAACATGATGAATTATCAGAGGTGGCAAATGATTGTAATTCAAATGTGAAGCTGAAAAAGTTATGCAGACAACTTATCAAGCAGGTCTATCTCCCAACAAGGCAAACTGATCCAAGATTCTTCTTGTTCTCTTGCTAATTGATTTCCTGTGGCAGGCACCTGGACAGTCATTGAAGCTGAAGCAACTTAAAGTTCTTATTGATGAGCACTCATCAGACGTTTTCTCTAACTTCTCTTCTAGGAAAGAAGCACTTGCTTTTTTAAAACGCAAGGTATGACTAATGTGGCACTTTTTTGATGAATCATTGTTAGCTTACTTGCTAATTGGTTTCGTTGTGTTTCTTGTCAGATTTGTATTGTCCGTTTTAAGTTGACGTTAACATTTTGTTTGTTGCTGCAGCTTCAAGGCAGTGACAAATTAGTTGTTGAGGGAAAAAGAGTATCTCTATCTGTGAAGAAATGGTGAAAGTTAGTTTTGACCCGATTTCAGATGCATGTAACGTTATGTACATTGCTGCTGAGACTAGTTGGATGGTAGGAACATTTTGCAAGTGGTTCCTCATTTATTTTTAATTTTTTTTGTACACCTCTTTTTAGTCCTTAATTTCAGCTGCCACATAATATGGAGTTTAGTTTTTTAGGCATACAATTGATGGCTGGGAGATAATTGCATTTTTTCTAGTTATATGAAAATTGATCCGATTGTTTACTGCTTCTGTTGGAACGTAGTTCTAGCCACATTATCTACGCCTACAGAGGTTTATTTAGCACTATAAACATTATCCTGTTGTCTGCGGGGTGAACTGTTGGCGTTTGGTTGAAGCAAACATCTTTGGCTACTTTAAAAGGTCTGTTAATGTTGTTTAGATGCCAAGAATTTGCAGCTACGAAACTGGGTTTCATAATCTAGTGGAGAATGGAATGCGTGCGCTGGTATGAACGCATTTGGGATCTTTTTTTTGCTAGAACGTCTTAGAAGTTTGCATGATAGATTGGACTTCAGCAGCCAATAGGAGCAAAAAAGAGCGAAAATTATTTGCATGCTACAAATTTAGCTTCATAAACTCTTCTGTTTTTTTAAAAAAAAATTATGTGAATATACAAAATGAGTGGTGACTGGTGAGTTTCATGCCATATTAGTAAACTAGTATACTATGAAAGGGAGTGTATGAAGCTAAAATTGGGCATAAATCCCAAAGAAATGGAAAAAAGACATAGTCGAAGAAATGGAAAAAAGACATAGTCGAGTTCCTACATGCTGTATTGCTGTGGATGCTACGAATAGAAGGCCATCGTAGCCGACCCAGCGGGATAATGGATAATGCGCTGGCAAGAAAATGGGAATCACCGGTGTTTTGTTCCCAAGAATGCAGCTCTTTTTGGCTAAATTCGAATGCATAAAAGCTTGATAGTCTACTATACTAGATGTAATTGGCTTGCACAATTTTGGTTGCCAAGTACTTTCCCAAAAATTCATATCCATGAAAGTACAGAGCTTCAATTTCTGCTCTCCGGCCACTTTCAACCATCGTAGCCAACTCTTCTTTGTAGCTATCCTGCAAAGACAATGCACCGAGGCATTAACTTCAATAGTGAAACCATGTACAGGATCTGCATTTTGTCAGGAAATTCACCTGCAATACATCTGAGGACAACAAGCTTTTGGCAATTTGAAGATCCTTAGGCTTCAAATTGATTAAAGATTCTTCAGGGACAAGTTGACTTATGTCATCCATTCTCATGCCTAGCCACTTCACGTTGCAAGCTGATATAAAGGAGATAGAGAAAGGCATAAATAAATTGGATTCCAGCACCACCCAAAGTGCATTTGGTGCAATGCAATCATCTGTGTAGATAAATTACCATATCTGTAAGCCTCCAGGCCCATTCCTATGCTTCCGAATTTGTAGGTGCACAGTATTGCTAATCCCGCAGGATTCCTTGCAAAATTTGATTGAGCAAGTTCTTAGGTGATTAGTGACAAAAAATGCAATGATGTGTAATAATGCTAAGTTATCGATACCAGTCAACGAGCCCTAAGATTGGCATTTCAGGAAATGCTCGACTCATTCGATGCAGAAAGAACCTGCTTGACAATCAGAATGTGAAGGTGACGTCCAACGCACTTCAATTTAAATCAAAAGAACTCACTTGAAAAATTGTTAGATTTAGCTACCTTGTAGCAATATCTGGATATCCTTTGGCTGTAATGAGAATGCTCGGAATTTGATTGAATACACAGTCCTCAGCCAGCCTCTGGAATATAGCATGCTGAAAAACTGCAGCTCTGTCAACAGCTGATTGGAGGAAATAGGCTGAAGTAATCATAAACAGAAGTAAGAAAAAACCTTCTCCACTACAATTATATAACGAGCATCCGTCTTCATGATCAATTTCTCTAACAAATTCAGGTCCCCTGAAATAGCATAACCAGAAGATCCACAAGTAGAGCAATCCACTGCTTCCTTGTTTGGCTCCTGCTCAGTGAAGCAAGGGAAATATATACAGTAGTCATCGCTGAGTGGATAGAACTGTCTTAACACTTGATAACGGATACATGAAATAATTCCACTGAAATTCAACCAAGATGGAAAGTGCGAGAGACAACATTCAACAAATGATAAGTACTATGAAGCGACACAGTTGAAGGGCCAAAAATGCAAGAAATCCCAATTTGTAAATAATAAAAGGCATGACACTACTGAGGATTGAAGGGGGCAAAAGATTATAAAAAAAAGGGGGGGGGGGGGCTATTGTTATGCATTACTCTCCAATTATCTAAGGTTAAAAGCAAGAGTTGACAAGAAGTGTGCCTGCAGCAATAGGCGGCCAGCAACCGCTCCTCTGCCAGATGCCATAATCCCAAGGCTGAAACGACTGCATCGAAGCAATGCCACTAAATCTGTTTGGCAACAAGTCCCAAACATTATATTTTAACCCAGATAAATTATAGATGAAGTGCTGCAGACATTAACAATAATAACATGTCAAAGATACAAAATGCAAATTTAAGATTGACCTTGGATGGTCCCGTTGACCTGCAATTGAGAAGGGAAATAATCTGGTGAATCGCAAAGCAACTTGTAGAATAACTCTCTCTGAGTCACTCTTTTCTCCTGAAGCAGTATCTGGTAACACATCTTCATCACCATCCACACTTCATTCCAAAAATTCCAAAACTATAAGAACTCTTAATTTTTTTTTTTTTGAAGAAAATGTAAAAACAAGAGATCATTGCATTTAAATAGTCGGCATAATTTTATTCATTTTACCTCTGACGAAGGATTTGGCAGTATTTTCTCTCATCAAAGACCGCTTGCAAAAGGATTGAGATAAGAAAATCCAGGATACATCCGTTAATAATCCGCGACTCACTCTGCTATTGCTCGACTTTCTACTAATCTGTTTAAATTTTTCCGCGAATTAACTATAATGAGATACTGAAAAAAGATTTCTTCCTTCTTCTTCTGCTTTTTCATTTGAATGTCTAATTCCGTACAATTAATTTGTAATTTTCCATAATGTAATGTCATGAAATATGGAAACAGAGCATGAGATGAAACCAGAGGAAGATCGGAGATTTCAGGCGTCGGAGCGTTCAGAACTTTTAAGAAATTGAGGACTGCAACTTCAATTCTAGCTCGAACCTGAAACAAAACCAACAAAAAAGAAAAAATAAGGAATTAATGTCAATATACGACGTAAAGAAACACATATAAGCTAAGAGTGTAGATGTGATTTATGCAATGGATACCTCCGGGGGAGAGAGAATATCGGCGTAGCAGAGGCTTTGATCGGAGAAGAAAATGGAGGATTTGCAGAGCTCTTCCATTTGTCAGATGATTTCAAATTTGGGGATTCTGCGCGCGCAAATGGGTGATTTGTACTAGAGCGTGTTTAGGCGGCGTGGGCCAGTGGACGCAGAAGAAATTGGATCAAATTAGGACCCAAGGTGATCTGAAAAGGTTACGACGCGAGCTGTGGACTGAGCCCAAATACACCTTTGTCTTCCTTTTTTTTTTCTCTCTTTTGAAAGAGTATTATTATATAGATTTTTTTAAACCTTTTTTTTTTCAGTAAGAGAGAGGTCGGATTAGAAAAAATGAGAAGGGAAAAAGGAGAAATTGGAATCAAATATCTCTCGTTCCTAAAATTTTTCAATTTCAACCATTAAACCAAAGTTTCCTCAGCTACTATATAAATTATTGTTACACAACAATTTGCTCATCCAACAAAAAAATATGTTATTTACATGAACTAGAAATGACAAAAATATGTTTATGTATATATCTATTAGTATTTTGTCTATAAATTTCAGGGACAACACTCATGATTCTGCCGACATACTTTTGTAGCGTTATAATTATGTAGATTTTTTTTTCCCATCGTCATATTGTTGAACTGATAATTACTTGTAATTTTACAGAAAAAATTTGAAAAGGCCAAATCTTTTTAGTGTCGTGATTTTATTACTTTGCCATTCTCCATGCGGATTGTGATAAAGGATGGAATACAATCAAGGCAATGACGGAGAAAACGCAGCAAGCGGGTAAGACTATACTATGCATACGTACATAGGGCAATAAAATTTTTGGGCAGCACTCAATAAAGGTGATGGTTTTGACCGGGGAAAAAAAATGTATATAGATAGATGACTGTTGCTGAGCCTATTATTATTGGTATCAGCATCTTCCTAGTTGGTATGTCACCCTTTTGCCCATTTACCTACCAATCTGACAAACAAGAAAAATCTTACAGAATAATAATAATATTTTATTATTATTCTTATTATTAGAAACAGACCATCCACACTAAGATATTTTGTTCAATTAACTTTGTTTCGCAGGGCTATTACATCCTTCATGAAGTTCTGGCCTCCTCTTGCGCCATATGAATATGGTTTTCGCGTAATACTCTTCACCTACTGCCTGATCATTGTTTCTGGATATCGAATGGGGAATCCAATAAGAACATCCATGGATCGGCTTTATTCAATAGCCATTGGAGGATTGTAGCAGTCTCAGTGAATGTACTAATATTTCCTATTTGGGCTGGGGAGCAGTTGCATCAAGAACTTGTAACTAACTTTAAATCAGTGGCTGACGCTCTTGAAGGTAATCAACAATTTAACTCCAATAATTTCATTTCTTTCACTTTGGAAAACAATAAAATCGTTAACCTGGTACGTTTCAGAATGTGTTAAAAAGTATCTAGAAGACGATGGATCAAATCATCCAGAGTTCTCAAGTACTGTGATGGATGACTTTCCAGATGAGCCTGCATACAAGAAATGTCGATCCACTTTGAGTTCTTCTGCTAAACTGGAATCATTGGTACAACTAGTTTATAAATCACGTTCAACTAGACTATTAAGTCTTTTTCGTTTCTTTCTCGTTCTCAAAGATTAGGAAACGGTAACCATATTTTATTATCTTTGCTTATATTTGAAGGCTAATTCAGCCAAATGGGAGCCGCCGCATGGCAGGTTCAGTCACTTCTTCTGCCCATGGTCAGAGTACGTGAAAGTCAGTGCAGTTTTGCGATACTGTGCATACGAGGTTATGGCACTTCATGGCGTTCTTCACTCAGAAATTCAGGTCTTTGCTTCCCTATCGTTATTGGTCATATTCTGTTTTCGGTTTCTCAGATGCCCTGCTTAGTCCGACATTCACTATCTACTTAGCAGAATTATAACTCTTTCCAAGCAGTGTAGGAAATCTAGAATATACAAAAAGTACTATAATTATGTCAAAAAAAAAAAAATCTCTTGATAATTCAATTTGATGCGATAGAAGAGGGTAAATGGCAAACAAAAAGCTCTAGAAAAGAACTCCCTGAAAACGCAATAGATGTTGTTTTTTGCCAGATACCATATGTGTATTGCATCTCTCAAATATGCGGTCTAGCTTTAACACGGTTGAGACGCAATTCTTTCCGTTAGTCCAAGGATGGCAGCATTATACTTTCTGTTTATCTCCGAATTAAGCATCTTCTACTTTTTATTCTGTCAACGGTATACCACATTTAACATAAATTTTTATCTTTCCGAACATATTCCGCTATGTTTTCAAACAAATTCTATACGTGCATGCTTAGACAGCAGCATGTATAACAGCGCATGCTTAGGCAGCAGCATCTATGACAGATGCTGCATGTTTGAAACAAATATGCAATGCTTTTACTGCAAAGCCTACTATTACTGATACACTATTGCCTGCACATACTCAAAGATCATGTAAACGAATAAATTTATGCTGATGTAACTCTGTAACTTACCAATGTACTTATGTATTGATATGTGATTTAGGCCCCTTATAATCTCAGAATCACATTCCAGCAAGAGATCCAGGATGCTACAACTGAGGCAGCTGAGCTAGTTAGATGTTTAGGAAATGATATACGCGATATGCAGAAAGGTCTCAAAGCTCCTATACTGAAAAAGGTGCACGCCACAACTGAGCGTCTTCAACGAGCAATAGATATGCATTCGTATCTCCTCATTTCCACTTATGATCAGCCTCCTGATAGACAACTGCCGAAGTTGTCCCACACTTTGTCCACCAACTTGAGTGACATTTCAAACCAGATGGCAGAGATCGATGTCAAGCTTCCCGACGAACAAAACTTGAACATTCCACCCTCCCAGCCATTAGGAAGTTTTCCTCCAGCGCAAACAGAATCTTATCATGAGAGTATGAGAAAACATTCGAGAAGGCTCCATTCTTGGCCTTCCAGAGAAGTTGATGCTTTCGAAGAGGAGGGAGGTAATAGTGCAGATTTTGTTCCCAAAATGCAGGCACTGGAGAGTACTGCTCATCTGTCACTTGCTACTTTCACATCATTACTTGTTGAGTTCGTTGCTCGACTTGATCATCTGGTCGAAGCAGTTGATGACCTCTCTAAGATGGCAAAGTTCAAGATTCAGACGGCATAGAAGTGGAAGTAATGTGCATGGGAATACTGGAACAGTGATTTTTCTTTTTTCTTTTTTTGGAGGGGGGGGGGTTGTTGGTGCGGGGTGGGGAAGCAAAAGCGCCAATAATATCAAGAACTTGAAAAGTTTATTTTAAGATAGTTAATGACAGATACGGCATGAAAATCCCATTTCTGTTCTGTTGTCAAGAAACTGATTCTCTATCATATTCGATATTCTGAGAGTGATAGGTGGAGGGCATACGATACTGTGCAATGTAGTGCAAGTCAGTGTTACTTAACTCACATCTTTTGATATTTGCAGTGTGAGAACCAATTCTGGTACCTATTTCAGTGAATGATCCCAAATTTACAGTCATGGACTCATGGAATGTAACGTTTTAATTTTTTTTTTTTAAATAAAATCGAACTAGTAATCATGGTTGTCCCTGGGATATGTTAGAAATAATATATAATAAATTGTCTACCAAAATTCGCACAGAAATTTCTTATGCAACAGGAGGAGTTAGTGACAATCCATATCTATGCGTACTGGACCAATCCCTCATTAATCTCTTGCCAACTGGTGGGCTAAGTCGTTAGTCGTTTGTCAATCAGTATAGAAATGGAAAGGAGTTTTATCTCTTGTTAGAATGCGCCTGGATTTTGGAACAGTGACTTTCTTGGAGGGATTATCGCTAACTGATCGAGCATGGACCGTACTGTGAAAGAACTGGGCCGTGGGGAAACAATCCTCGTTAAAGATTATTGCCTGACCTTTCAATCATTCGTTTTAGACAACCTGCGCGTGTTCTCGAGACATCTCACACTCTATGACTTTGTACAACAAATGAAATAAAAAACCACTTTGGTTTCCAAAGGCCAAAAGTACATTCACCTTTTTATAGGATCGTAATGTGTATATGTATCCCCAACGATTTGATACTCGAATCAAGCTTGGCTCGCCAAGAACTTGTTTAAATTTGCTACTAACCAATTAAACTAGGCTGCAATAGTATTTTTGGTTTGATAAACTTTCAAGTTAAGTTCGAACTTAACTCGATTAGTATAAAAGTGAAATTTATATATAAAAAATTCAAATTATTAGAATTTGACTTAAATTCGACTCACTAAAAGCTCGTTCAAACTTGGTTCAACAAGTAAACAAGTTAAGCTTGAACAAAATCTCAAACTCATCCAAATAATTAAATAAATTTGAACACAAGAATGTTCAGTTTCTTCATATTCATTTACACTCTCAACGTATGTCTGGATTGATACCAAAGAACTTCAAATGAAAGGATTTGAATTTCACATTTATTAAAATAATTTGTTCGGCTAAAAGTTCCTAATGAAACGATCATTTACAATTACCAAAGCAAGTTGGGGTGAAAACAGAAATTATAAAAAGTTTTAAGGGTCCGGTCCGTATTGGATAATTCATTTCCCTTTCTTCCAGGGATCGAGACTATGTTCTTTATTCACTTTTTTTCAGTTCCGTTCTCTTCTCCAGCAACGGCAGCTAGATCAATAATTTGTTTTTTTTTACTTCTTTTTAGTTCCTTTCTTTGTTCTCTTTTCCGGCAACAGCAGCTGGCCATAGTGTCAAACGCCATTCCCCTCCTTTACTACCACGACCGCTCACACCTGTCCATATATGAGAGCCTTCAAAACCTACTTTTTGTCTCTCACTCTGTTTTGCACCTCTTCTTTTGCCACGAGGCAACCATCACCGGCATCTCTCTCATTCCCGCGTATTAAGTCACACCAAGACAGGAGGGGCGACAAAAATCGTTTCGGAAGAAAGTTGGAGAAAACGATAGAGGGGGGATTGACCTAATCCATTGATTTTAACTCTCAAAATTCCTCTTCCAGGGCTGGATTTCAAATACAAATCTTAGTCAAGTTAATTAAACAACACAAGGATTTTGGGTGGAGGATTTTGAATCCAGATCCATCTAAATCCCCGGTCCAAACATACCCTTGAGGTTTATTCGAAGTTCTGCTACTCAGGACTCAAATGTCAACTCACTCAAAAGCCCTAAAATACCTAATACAAAACACTCGAGATACAAAGAGATCGCCTGATTTATTTTGAACACAAACATTTGGCAAACCAACACTATAACCCAATTTACGAAACTTTAGATATTTACAAAGATGAACACCAGAAACCACAATCAAAAGGCTACATCTGAAAGCCACGTAGCTTTCCCCTTATTGCTACACATATTCAACAACACCACATTCATAGTTCAACGACCTAAACAAATATGAAACAGTTGCACATATGTAACAAGAGCACAAACTGTGAAAGCAGAAGATGCACAGACAACCAGAAGAAGATGCTGGCCATGAACATGATAGAACAAACAAACAGGAAAGCAGATAGTCTTCAGACCCAGCTTTGACGGATCCAAGACTTCCTTTGCTCAGATGGACTAACCATGCCATTGCTGCTGCCAAAGCTCAGAGCAGAATTGCTTGCCATCATTGCCATCAGACTTCCACCATGCACCCTTCCTTCTGGAATTGCAACTGCATTTGACGATGCACTTCTTTCAACAGGCAGAGCAGCTTGCAGGGGACAAACATATTTCCCACCAGAACCACTGAAAGGTGTTATAACACTGCTCTCCATTTTCATGATATCAGCATTCATGTCTTCAGCAATGATAACCTGTTTCATCTTATCAGGTTTGCTTGGTTCTGATCCTGGACCATAGCTCCTAATGTCACAGCACCATGAACCCGTTTATCCTGGACCAGAGCACCGTGAGAAGCACACAACCCGGTCTTCCCACGCACAAATGAATTGCAAGGACTCTCACCATTTCCAAATTCAGAACCAGGCTGCCCCCAAGAGCACCTCTTCCCACCACCATGGGCCTTGCAGAAATCAGTGCTTCCCTGAGCACTTTTTCCACACCCTTCAAATTTGCATCTCTTGCCCCCACCATGACGAACACAAAAATCAGTCCGCCCCCTTGCACTCTTTGTGCATTCTGGAACAGCACACCTCTTACCACCACCATGTGCTACGCAGAAAAGGGTGCCTCCGTGTACGCTTTTTGGACAAATCATACCTCCCTGGAATGAACACCTTTTCCCTCCACCATGGCCCTTGCAGAAAGGCGTGCTCCCTTCAGCACCCTTGGTACATCCTTCAGAAGTGCATCGTTACCGCCACCATGCGCCTTGCAAAACATTGTGCTTCCTTGAGCCCCTTTTGTGCATTCAGGATATTGACATCGACGGCCACCTCCATGAGAAATACAGAGACCAGAGAGGCCTTCTGCACTTTTTGTGCAGTTCTCCCTTTGGCATCTTTTCCCACCACCATGCCGGATACACAATCCAGATTTCCCTCTGGCAGCTCGGCTGCAGCCTTCATGACTGCAACGCCGACCTCCACCATGTGCAATGCACAGATCAGTCCGACCTTCTGCACTCTTGGTACAACCTAGGAATTCACATCTACGACCACCACCATGAGCCTTACAGAATGCAGTTCGACCCTCAGCTCCTTTATGGCAACCAAGTCTCTGACACCTCCGCCCACCTCCATGGGCGATGCAAAGGCCAGAAGCACCTCTAGCCCCTTTTACACATCCGTTGAATTGACACTGTTTCGTACTGGTACTACGCTGCTGTTGCTGTTGAGTTATCCCGGAAGTACAGGTGACTGAGCTTTTTGGTGTTGTTACCATGCTTGTTGAAAGCTCGGAGTGGTTGCAGCTGGTTTCAAATCTCTTACAGCTTTGTTTAGCAAGTAACTAGTCTGCAAGTTATCCACAGTCGGCAATGGATGAAATAAGCTCCCCATATTCAAGCTTGATGATATCGATCCTTCTTCGGTGTAAAATGCCCCACCAACAGCCACGTGCATCTGGTCTACAACATTTTGTGGTGGGGTAGAGCTCAAATGGATAGAGGTGACATCAGATTCAGCAGTCCCACTGGAAAGACTCAACTCCAGATCAACCTTTGGCCAGACATCCACTAATTTAGAACTAGAACTAGTAGATTTCCTTGGGCTAAATGTTTTATCATTTCCAAGATGGAGGGAGAAGTCAGTTCTAGGTCCATCGAAGATGACTCTTCAATTTCTTTTGCCGAAGAGATTGATGTGCATGCAGTTGCTGAACTCCCTTTACTGTCTGAGGAACTTGTTGAATGGCCTAGACGGAGACACAATGATGATTCCAATTGCTGACCCACAGAACCGTCAATCAAGCCCCATTTCCTTTTCATTCCCTTTGAGGCAGATACAAAAGGGATTGGTGAGCCAGAAGAATCAAGACACAGTGTAGTATCTGCACAAAAACCACCACCAGCAACTCCAATTTGAAAGGAATTACCCAGATTCTCGAATGCATTCAACGCAGGGTTAGCAGCAAAACCCAAATTGTGGAATCTGGCATCCATGACCTCACAGCTAAGATGCAACACTCTTATCTGAAGCAAATGTAATGACAAGGAACAGTCTCCCTGACTTCCGGGTTGAAAAGTTAGCTACAAAACTAGGTTAGATGTCTCTAAATGAGTACATCCCACCCCCACTAACAAACCCTGAGGTATCACGTCGATCCATTTGCTGTAAAATTATCTGAATCAAACTAATCAGCAAGAGTCAGAGGAGAAAAGTGCATACAAACTCAAAATCTTCAGCATCCCAATACCAGAGTTCATCCTGTCTCAAAAAAGAAATAAGACGTTAGACTAGGTGATAAGTATCAGAGTAATATGTAATGTTTCAATGAGCTGGCACATAAAACTTGGCCAAAAAGGTTGCATAATGAAATTCGGCATATCACCAAAAGCACAGAATTTTTGAAGTACTTGTTCAATTTGGAAATGCTTTCAGGAAAACACCCACACCAAAATGTAGAGGAGTGCCTTCAATATAATTAACTTAAGCAAAGATCTTTGTCAATAAACAAAGACAAAATAAAGTTATTTCGTACTGCAAATTACACATTTGAAAAACCCACTACTAACTCAAGTTTTTTTTTTTTACTGTAAAGAAATACATGCTCATACTGAAATTAAAAATCAAACCATGAAAATATCC